AGGTTCACCAATCAGGCACCTTGTAGGTGCTTTCTAGGCTGAATGGTACCTCTTTGCAAAAACAATTCTTAAAAAATAGCTCAAGTCATATGAAAATATCCTCATTGAAAAAATTCAAACAATACAAAAGTATATAGAAAAAATGTAACAGTTTCTACCCCTCCCTTTCCATTTTAGTTGCAATTGAATCTTCAGAGAAAACCACTGTTGACATTTGGCTTTCAGGTAATTTCTTCTGTATATAACTAACATATATACATATAGACACATACATGTAAATTTACATAAATGAGAAGATATTGTGTGTATTATTTTGTTGCTTGCCTTTTTTATTAAACAATATGTTTTGGAGAGATTTCCGTTATCAGTACATTTGGGTTGATCGCATATATTTTACTGTACATTATGGTGGGTATTTTATTTTATTTTATTTTATTTTTTATGTTAACATTTGCTGGTGCGTATTTGTGGGGTACACTGTGCTGTTTCAATACATGCATATACTGCACAATGATTCACTTGGGGTAGATAGCAGAGTTTTGTACCCATTAGTCCATATGGTAGGTATTTTAGTTGTTTCCAGTTTTTCATGATTACAAATGAAACTGCAAAAAATGTGCTGGTTCATCTATCTTTGTGTGTTTATGCAAAGATTTCCATAGGGCAGATTACTGAAAGTAAGTATTTCTTTTTCAGTATTCAATTACACAATTAAAACTCTAGTTTGGAATCAATTCAGTGCTTCACTTTTGGTTGTTGAGCAGGTAGCCATGACTCCTGCATCTGACTGTAGCTCTTACAGACTCTTTCTTTTTCTTTTTTCTTTTAAAATTTTATTTATTTTATTGTAACATAGTTGATTGTACATGTCTGTGGGGTACAGAGTTGAATATCAGTCAATACCTGTGTGCAACACGTGATTCTCAAATCAGGATAGTTTTCAATTTTGTACAGTGTAATCATTTTTCACATCCCTTTACCAATTCCTATGTTACCCACCTCTCCTTCCCCCTTTCCCACCTCTGGGAATCTCAGTTCTGTTCTCTCCTTTTGAAAGCTCAACCTGTTATTGTGATTGTTGTATCTTTTATGTTTTCCTTTTTTTAAAAAAAATTATTTGTTCATTATTTTAGCTCCTACTTTTGAGTGATGACAGGCAGTATTTCTCTTTCTGTGCCTGTCTTATTTCACTTAATGTGATTTTCTCTAAGTTCATCCGTGTTGCTGTGAATGGCAGAATTTCATCCTTTTTTATGGCAGAGTAGTATTCCATTGTGTATATATACCACGTTTTCCTTATCCAGTTGTCTGATGATGGACATCTAGGTGGAACCACTCTTGGCTATTGTCAATAGAGCTGTGATAAACATGGGGGTGCAGGTAGCCCTTTGACATGATGATTTCCATTCCTTTGGGTATATATGCAATAGTGGGATTGCTGGATTGTATGGCAGATATATTCATAGTTGTTTGAGAAACCTCCATAACATTTTCCATAATGGCTGCATCAATTTACAGTCCCATCAACAGTATAGGAGGGTTTTCCTTTCTCTGCCTCCTCGCCGACATTTGTTATTCTCTGTCTTTTTGATAATAGCCAGTCTAACCGGGGTGAGATAATATCTCAGTGTGGTTTTGATTTGCACTTCCCTGGTGTTGAATGATGTTGAACATTTTTTCATGTGTCTGTTGTCCATATGTATATCTTCCTTTGAAAAATGCCTATTCAGCTCCTTTGCTCATTTTTTAATCAGGTTATTATTGTTATTTTTTTTCACTGTTCTTTGTTTGAGTTGCTTGTATATTCTGGATATTAATCCTTTGTTGGATTAGTTTGCAAATATCTTCTTCCACTCTGTAGGTTGTCTTTTCACTCTTTTGATTGTTTCTTTCGCTGCGCAGGAACTTTTTAGTTTGATGTAATCCCATTTGTTTATTTTTCCTTTTGTTACCTGTGCTTTTGGTGTCATTCATAAAGTCTTTATCTATTCCTACTTCCTGAAGTGTTTCCCCTATGTTTTCTCTTAGGAGTTTTATAATTTCAGATCTTATATTTTTGTCTTTAATACATTGATTGTGGTATATGGTGAGAGGTAAGGGTCTAGTTTCATTCTTCTACATATGGACGTTGCAGACTCTTTCTATCTCACAGGGCTGGTGTCCACCTCTGTGAATGAATGGTGATGACACTGGGTAAATGCCAGAGGCAGGCAACTATGTGAAGACTGCTCCAGAAGGTCATGAATGAATTATGTGTCCAAAGATGTGTTAAAGAGGAGGCTGGATATTGTAGAGAGGACTCGATTTGAACCCAGAAAGGATTTTCTCCATTTCTTCAAATGTCCCATGCTTTTTCTTTTCTCCAAAACTTTGCAGACAGGGGTCTCTGGGTAGGGAGCACTCTTCCCTTCCCCTCTCCTTTCATTTGGCTCACTTTTACTCATCATCATTTCAGAAGGACCACTTTTTTTTTTTTTTAATCACGTCCTGCCAACATTGTATATTTTCCATTCAATATTTTTTCCTAATCTTTTAGGTTAAAAAAAAATTTACTATTTGAATATACTTTTTTATTATAATTGAGATTTAAATTTCAAAAAATATGTTTATGGTTTATTTTGTTTCTTCCTGTGACATTTTTTGTTCATATTCTTTGCCCTTTTTCTCCTGACTCCTCTTCCTCATGAATACTTCTGGGTGGATTTTGGAATTGTCATGTGAATGGGAAATTTGTTGGGTTTACTAGCTCCTTGAAATTCCTCTCCGTATGTTCCAGCACATTACTCTCCCGATTTCCTCTTCTACCTTTCTAATTATTTTTTCTTATTTCCTTTCTTTTACTTTCCCTCTAGCATTCTCTTCTTATTTTCTTTTGGTCTCGCACCCTCTCTCTGGTTGATTTCATCCATGTCTATGGCTCTAATGACTATTTGTACCTGTACTGATCTGAAATTTCTCTCTTCTGTCCTCTGGATCTGTATTCCAACTTTCTTCGTGGCATTTTCACAAGCATCTCAAATTTAGCTCATCCTAATTTCTCATCACTATTTTTCTGCTCTAGTCCTTTTTCTACCTAGTCCTTTGAGATTACTTAGGGGCAAGAGTTAAGATTCACTCAGGTTCCCAGTGAAAACAGTAGTGTCTTCCTTGACTCCACCATTCCATTTACCTTGTATGTTCACGCAGACACTAGTCCATACTCCGCACTTATGCCAGAGTTCTCTTCCTAAAACAATTCAGGTCATATCATCTACCTCTTCCTCTGCTGGCTCTTTATGGTAGACATCATAAATTACTAATCTTAGCATGAAATGTAAGACTTTTTATCATCTGGCCTAGGCTTCCTGTTCATCCTTATATTCTACCACTTGCCCTTTCACCCTCTTTCCTCTTATCACTGGACATGTTTTATCATGTCTTTGCAGAATCAGTTCCTTCTGCTTAGAATATTCTTTTTCATCCTCTCCTGCATATTTTTCATAGTCCAGATCAAATGGCAACTCCATTGGGAAGCCTTTCTCGAGATGCCCAGGACAAATTTCTCTGTTCCCTGAATTACTCCCTTCACATCTCCTGCATAATCTTGATCAAATTTTTACTGTATATATTATATATGTACATATATACTCACATGTAATATTCTTTATTGCATATATACATATAGACATTGTACTACTTGTTATATATTTACATATATGTACACATATAAACAAAATGAGCACAATGCATTTAATAATATTTATGAAGAGTACTACTCACTTTATCTATGAATATTACATGGGTGGTAATACAAATATGTTATTTTGGTTCTCAATGCCCTTATGCTGAGAGTTTTCATCAGAAATGGATGTTGGGGGCCGGCCCGGTGGCGCACTGGATAGTGCGCCACTTGGGAAGTGTGGCGGCGCTCCCGTCCGAGCGTTCGGATCCCATGTACAGACCAGTTCCCGCTCACTGGCTGAGCGAGGTGCGGGAGCAGCGCCGAGGCTTGCGATCCCGTTGCCGGTCCCCGGTCCGGTACGGGGGCAACACTGAGGGTTGCGATCCGTTGCCGGACACGGAAAAAAGAAAAAAAAAAAAAAAAAAGAAATGGATGTTGGCTTTTGTCAGATGCTTTTTCTGTATCTATTGAGATGATCATGTGTTTTTTCACTTTTAGTTTATAAATACAGTGAATTACATTGACTATTAAACCAACATTGCATTCTTGGAATAAATCCTACTTGGTCATGGTATGTTATCCATTTTATGTACTGTGGAGGTTATATTAACATTTGTTAAGAATTTTTGCATGAATGTTTATGAAGGATATTGATCTGGATTTTATATTTTATAGTGTTTTTGTCTTATTTTGGTACCAGGGTAATGATTGCCTCATACAATGAGTTGGGGAGTATCCTGTCCCTAACTGGATTTAATTTTCTGGAAGAGATTACATATAATTGGCATTATTGCTTTCTTAAATGTTTTGTAGAATTTATCAGTGAAGCCATCTTGGCCTGAATTTCTTTGTGGGGAAGTTTTTAAACTTGAATTCAATTTTTTTTTTGTTTGTTTGGCAGCTGGCTGGTAGGGGATCTGAACCCTTGACCTTGGTGTTACCAGCACCATGTTCTAACTGAGTGAGCTATCTGGCCAGCCAAATTCAAGTTCTTTAACAGATGTGTTTCTTCTTGAGACAGCATTGGTAGTATGTGTCTTTCAAGCAATTTGTTCATTTTATTTAAGTTGTTGTATTAGTATAAGCTTATTTCTTTATATTGATTTATTGTCAAGAACTTCGGTTAATTTTGAGGAAAACACGTTGGTTGATATACTATACTTGACAAGATAAAACACCCTTTACAAAGTTTAGTAAGCTTTGTTCAGCCTGAAAAATCTGTGCTCTGCCTTTTCAGTCTCCCATCTTCTCCCTTATCTTGAGCATCCCCAAACTTGCCAATTCAGCATATGAAAAGCCTTTTATAGAACAGATTTTCATCAGAAAGAGGCTGCCAGTTTTCCATTTTATTTATACTTTGATTCAAATGGGCCAGGACTCATTTTTACATCTGCAGGAAGGAAAAGAGGGAACTATGTGGTGATTATGTATATGTGTGTGTGTGTGTGTGTGTGTCTTGTATTCTGCAATTGAACTTCTAGGCCTAACTCTGAGTCCCAAAGGACTTTCTCATTAATAAAATGTAAGCAAAACAGCCAGAAGGAGTACTGGGAATGAAAGCATTTTAAGCAAATTGTAGAAAGGATGGGGTCGCTGAGCTCCACTGACAGCTCTTGTCCTGGTTGGCTTCACTGTCCGGTTCCATTGGGTCAGGATGGCATTTCTGGCCCCTTCCCACTTCCCAGGTCCCATCAGTCGAAACTGGTATGGGCTGCAAGGGCCAAAGTACACCTCCAGGGCCAGCTGGGGGTCAGTCAGGAAGAGCCATGGTAAGTTGGGCTTGGCCCCTATGAAGGAGCACAGCTCATCCATGTATGTGATGTAATCTGTCTGCAAAGTCTGGCTATGGCCAAACCTGAAAAAAGAAAAGAACATATTGGAATGAGTGTTACAGTTGAAAATAGAAGCATTAATTTCTTATTTTCTCAGAGAAATAACATTTTAGTCAGCACCTGCAGTTAAACACCCCCTCTTTTTCACAAAATTGAATTTATTGTTTGTTTTTTGGTTAAGTGAACTTTTTTCCCTCTCTTTCCTTATTTCTATCTGAGTTTGAAGCCATTTTGGGCTTTTGCCTCTGGCCGTGTGGCCTGGAGTGAACTGACTCTCTGGTTCAAGGTGACTGGTTAATTTAGTTTACTCTTGAACACATGATTATTCTTCACATGACATTGCTTAGAATCTGCCCCAATGTCAGATTTTTACATTGGTTTGTTTAAAATTGGTTTTATGTAGGGTCCTAATATTGCTGAAATTTACTAATATAAATTATTTCATACTTTTAGTTGGAGTGTGGTCTCATTTGCTTTTAGAAACCCTGAAAAACAGCTTATCATTTAAGCAATAAAATTGATATTTAGACCTCACTTTTTCCTCTCCTTTAGTTCTCTTGGCCTCTAAAGGATATGGCATCAAGTTGCATGAATTGTTAGCACACAAGAGTGCCCACCTCTGAGAGGTGTCCTATGAATTGTATGCAGAAGAGGTTTTGTTGAATCTGAGGATTCCATTTCTTCTTTTCTCTAAGCACTGAATTGGTGACTACCTTGGGGCATTTAAGGAGGCTTGAAAAAGGAAAGAAACTTTCTGTACAGTCATTTATTGATCCAAGAGTGAACTGTTATCCAATTATTTCTAACAGATTTTGATATATAATTTGAAAAGGATTTACTTTTATAGAAGTAATTAACTTGAAAAAGTAACTATAAATATCTTATGTTTAACCACTTAAATGACTTTCTACAAATCTTATTTATGCTGTACTTGAGGACACATGTTTGGATGAATCGGAAGTGATACTTGTTTAGTGGGAAATGCAAGCGCAGGTGAACTCAATTGAAGTTTTCAGTTGGCTTTCTTATTACAGCAAACTAGATGCCATCATGCAATTTCCAGGTACCCAACTTGCTGGCAGATATGTGGCTGATGGAGAAGGAGCTCTTAGAGAAAACTATAGAGTTGTTTCTCAACCTGAGCACTGTTCACATTTTGAGTCAGTTAATTCTTTGTTTTGGTGGAGTGTGTTCTACATTATAGGATGGTTAGCAGCATCCCCAGTCACTACCCACGACCAAAAATGTCTCCCAATTTTGCCAAATGTCCCCTGGAGAGCAAAATCATCCCTGGGAGGGAACTTCTGATCTAGAATTATACAGAAAAAGTGTAATGACTGTTTACCAATCTAATACAGCTTGATTATGGTAAGTGTTCCAATAATGTGAACTCTGACTTCTCACAATATCATAGAATATATTAATGTTTTCCTACAAAAGGCAAATTTAGCACTTGCTTCATTAGTAAGTACAATCACTTACCACTTGAGTTTCTTCCCCATTTTCTCATCAATGTCATCCATCATTTCATTTGTTGTTGGCAGGGTACATGAGTCTAGACAAGAAATAAAGAGGGAAATATCAAAAAAGATGAAGAAATCAAAAATGTAGAATGGCATATGATGAAATTCATTCAGTATTTATAAACTATATCCCTAAAAACTTTTGTAGCAAGAGGAGCTGTTTTTAATGGAATAACAATTCACAGAAACAAAGACCTGAGAACTTAATGTACCTTCTCTGGGAATGACAAATGGCTGGCCTGCGGGGATATGGTGACAGCAGAGACCTTTGTAGCTTCAAATCACCCAATCTTATATTTTAATAACATTATGGAGGGCCTAATCCTCAACATACCTCAGGTACACCTCATGCACATAATAGCTTCATAGTTTCTTCATATTTCTTGTCTGCAGCCTCTTATTAAAAGTCCTCTCAAGAAACAATCTGGTAAAATAGTTCATTCTAAGGTACATAACAAGTAAACAAGATAATGAAAGGAAGCATGGGATTTCAATGTCAGCCTGCAGTCAGGTAGAATGTTTTAAGGGGCAGCTGAAAATTTTTAGTTTTTTGCAAATTTCACTACCTCAGTGACGGATTCTTCTGATTGGTGATTGTAGCTCACTTGCCTTTGTAACGATGGAAGAAAGCTACTTTGACATTTGCGAGAATGAACACTTCGCAGTCATTGTCAGCATCTTACCTCAGCCTTGCAGGGCTCTATGGTCAGATATTTGCTGTGTGCCCCACTAGAAAGTAAAGGACCAGAATTTTGGTCTGTTTTGTTTGATGTTGTATAGTAAGTGCTAAGACAGAGCCTGACACATAGTAGATGCTCAGTAAATGTTCACTCAATAAACAAATGATACCCTTGTTTCATGTTAATTTCTCAGGTTTGTGAACTGTATCCAGTCTTCCCATAAAACCTCAGGCCCTTGGCACTATTGTGCCTTTCGAAAAAAAGACGATAGAAGCATTTTATAGGGGAGCCTGTAAATACTACACATTTTATGATTGTAATATTTTCTTCATTACTTATATTATAAGTTTTTATGGACATTATGTTAGGTAAGTTATACCTATGTTGGTCAAGATTTTTGAACCTTTGAATAAAAGGACACTTTTGATAACAATAATGATCAATACGATAGGAGTAGATTAAGTCAATATATTTGAGACATTGTTTTTCTCCATGTAATCCTCATATTCTTGATTTTCTCGCAGAAGCATACTTGTAGTTTCTGGAGACCATGGGGTCTAGAGTGAAGGGAGGGAGTGGGAAGAGATTGTCAATAGAGTTGAGTGGCCTCACATTGTGACTCTGATACAAGTTGACACCCATGAGGTCTCCAGCACACCCCCAACACCCACCAGGACCCTTCCAATCTTCACAATGTACCTTGACATTGCAGTTATCTCATTGCTGTTCTTTTCTTACTTAAAACCTTGCAAAGTCCTCCCAATTTCCCTATGAGAAGTGTAAGCTCTTTAACTTATAAGGCCCTCCATGCTCTGGTCCTTTCTCTATTTCTTGCCATTCCCTGTCTCTGCTTTATATTCCCTCACACCAAAATGTTTCTGGTTCCTCACAAATTCCATACTATTCCTCACCTCTGTGTCTTTCCTCATGCTGTCCCCTCTACATCAAATAGCTCACTGCCCAACTGCCCTCACTGGAACACCCCAAAACGTCACCTGCTGTGGCCCTCTCTCACCACACCTTATTTTAAGCTCTGGGAGGTCAAGAAGCCTGTCTGACTTGTTCTCTTTGTATCCCTAACACCTAGTACAGTGCTTGACATGTAGCAGGTGCTCAATAAATGTTCTTTGACTAAATGAATCAAAGACAGAATGGCCCACCTACTTGCAAACACTTTAGCAGCCCAGCGGGCCTGCAGGTCAGCTGTGGGGATAGCAGCTCCAAGGGACTGGACAAAGCCAATCACAGCCAAGGTTGACTTCTCCATTAGTGGGGGGAAGATGCCTTTAAACAAGGTGACCTCATTATTTCTGCTTTTGATGATGGAATCATCAAGGAAGGGGTAGGCATAATCATAGCCTGTTGCAAAGATGACAGAGTCAATGGCCTCAAACACGGTCCCATCCTCAAACACGGCTGAGGTCTCTGTGAACTCCTTCACACTGGGCTTGATGGACACAGTGCCACACAGGATGCGGGATGGGAGCTCGTCATTGAACACTGGCTCTTTTCTCAGGGCACTATGCAGAAATGAGACACAAATACCCTTGCTGTAAAATACCTTCAACAGATCATAGCTCTGAAACCAAGTTGAGCAGTTAAACATCAGCACAAGGGATTAAACCCTCTTCTCTTGCGGTGATTCCTTTCCCATTGTCTGTGACAATCCTTAAGAATTTCTGTCTGATTACGAATGCCTCCTTTGCCCCCTTGAAGACTGAAGATTCCCTTATGGGTATTTATAGTATTTGGAGATTCACCAAATAGATGACAATAAAACTAATTCCCAGAGACAATAAAGTGGTTAAGAGTGCAGACTTTGGAGCTAGATGACCCAAATTTATAATCTAGCTCCAGTTCCTAATAGCTGTTAGTTCTCTATATTTGTTTCTTTATGTGTAAAATGGGGATAATGACAGAATCTTCCTGATAGGTTTACTGTGAGAATTAGGTGAACAACGATCTATAAAGCACTTAAACCAGTGCCTAGCACATACAAGCAACATTGTTATAAGTGAACGTTATTATAACTTTAAGGTCTAGTCCTGCAGGGGGAGATCAGATTTGCAGTGGTGGGATGTTTTACTGCCGCGTTTGGTCTTTCACTAGCCATTGTCACAAAAGAAAGTATAACAACTCTGATACTGCATTTTAGTTGCCAGAATTCTAGGAATGATATTTCTCATGATGATGTACTTCATTTTGACTTAAGTTTCCTTCAGGGATTCTGGAATTTCCTCCAAGTATATCAGACACAAAAAAACCTTCATAAATCTTGGAATTTGTCTCTATATGAGGGTACTTCAAAAAGTTCACGGAAAGACATGTATTATCTTTTCATTCTATTTTTTCCATGAACTTTTTGATATACTCTTTTACTTCCACACTATTTTCTGCCTCTATAAATCTGAAATCTCTTCTTTTACCTTGCAAGGTGGCAAAAAGTAGGTCACAGCAAAATTTATTTTTTCTTCCCCTTTCTCCCTCCTCTCCCCGTCTCCCTCCACAAAGGGAGGAGTGAGAAAGTGTAGTCAGCAATTTAGTGTAATTGGAACACTTTCTAAGAGGAAGCTTAGTTCTTAGAATGAATGGATTTCCAAAACTATGCTTTAATTGTCTAAATGGCAAAACTAAAACAAAATTTGCAGTTACTCTTATAAAACAAAAAAATCTTAAGCAGCTCAAGTTTTGGAATTTCTACTATATTTTAAATGCATAAAATCTTAATTTTAAATGCATAAAATCAACATTTTTTCATTCTTTAGGGGTATAGCAGTCTGCAAGACTGGATTGAATAAGTGCCTTGGGATGAGGGTTTGGCTGCTAAACCTGGCATTTGCTGTTCTGGTTTATGATCTCTCCCTATTTTTTCTTAACCTATTTCTCCAAACACCATGAAACTTTTTGGCTAGCATGGACCAGAAGATGAAATTTCTTAGTGAATTCTTTCTTTTTTTTACCCACCAGAATATTCTTTTTTTTCTACTGATATACTGATCCTTCTACCTAGAATGGCTCCCTAATCAGTAAGTTTTGGGCTCTGTCTCTGTAAAGAAGTAAACAAATGATCTTACTAATTTTATAGGCCACATCAGTTCGGTGAATCTCCTTTGCTGTATATGTTCCATGCCTCCTTCAGGGGTGGGAGAAGTGTGCACTTTTGTTTGAGACTTCCCACTTGCTGAGACTTGTTGATTAACCCTACTTTGTTAATAGCTCTTTAGAAGCACATTAGACAATGTGAGACTAAGAAGAACCAATATTTGTAGCCTACAAAGTTCTGTGCTGTAGCTTATAGCTACGATAAAAAAAATCCTGCTTGTGAGGATGATCTATCTGTCTGATCCATCCCTATTTTGGATTCTTTCATACCACTTTCTCCACTAGACTAATTTTGATAAGATTTCCAACCTATACATGGTCTTTGGGTATATCCTGTCACTTGTGCAGTCCTTAATTTAATCTCATCAGCTTTAATGAGTAAGAACTAGAGAGAAAGAATTCACTTGGACAAGTGCCCTACTTTTTTGAATGATAAAATATGCATGATTTGTAGTACCCATTTAAAGGCATCAGGCCATAGTTTTCATGCTTAAACCAAGTGTTCATCTTCTTGACATATAACCAGTCGGAGACGAATGAAGGAAGGGCATTCCGGAGAAAGGATGCAAAGCGGGTAACATATACCATATCCCAAGGATAGCCATCATCCCAAACCCGACTCATGACCCAGGAACCACTTCTGGTACTGATAATGACCTGGTGGGGAAAGGCAACACAAATTTCAACATCACTCTGTAAAAAATAAGCAAACACGACATAATTCTCTGGGCACTTCCACACATTTCTTTCAATATCCAGATAGGAACACTTTTAAAGAAGTGTTTCTAGATGAATAATCTATAACTAAAACTAAGTAGAAGCAGGACTACCCTCTCACCACCCCAGAGGGCTGGTGCATACTCGTTGAAACAATTAGAACCATATCTTGGAACAAGAGGGTTCTGTATTCCAATGTGATGGGCTTAATCTTCACATACTCATAGACTAAGATGGCAGGTCTGGCAGGCACTAGACAATCTAGTAAGCTTCATTGGTGGTGGGTGGTAATAGCTGGTGGGCTAGGTGGGGAAAATATAGCTAAACCTCTAGCTGAAATTAGGTGGAGGCGATGCCAAAGATTTCATTCTGTTCCCTATCTCTGGTCTTTTGTTCCCAGTTCTCTCTACACATGTACCCCAGGACTTCTGCTGGGTATCCCAAACCATGGTGGCTACCTCAGTCCTAAGACAAGGCTGGCTCTTGTCTATTTTACCATTTTTGTGAAATAGACTTTAACTTTGTGACAACTCAAGGGAATTTTTAGTTTTAAAAAATTTTAGGTTTTATTTACATCCATTTAAGAATTGATTGAGTATGTGTTTCCTTAAAAATATATTAAGTTTCCTAGGGGTCTACTGGTCATGTATGACTCAGCTTGGAGTCCTCTGGGAAGCCTTCCTTGACTTCTTCCAAGCTAAGTTAGGTTCTCTTTTCACAGTGTTGCTCTCTCTACACCTAATTCCACTGGAAGACTACTTACCTCCTTTTGCGATGGCCTGTGTACCTGTCACCCCACCTCCATCCATTGACTGCTCCTTGAAATCAGGAACTAGTCTAAATTATGACTATTTATTTTTAGTTTAACATAGTTGTAATGCATGGTAAGTGCCCAATATTTTTTGAGCACCTGCTGTTGAATGATTAAATGATAGTAAAACCCAAATTGCGTGTATCTTCTAGAACTGCAGAGTGGTGAACACAGTATCTTTTGTGTGGTAGGTGATGAGAAATACTGTTAAATACATAAAGCTAGAGCTGCCTAGGAACCAGTCTACTTGGAGGTTATCAGAACATAAAATTAAAACAAAAAAACACATACATACACACTTATATATGTATACACATCTGTACACTTACCTCTGGTTTCAACAGAATGTACTTCCTTACTGGCATGAGCCAATTACCTTGCTTCACATGGAGAATGTCTCAAGTCCTCCTTGATTTAAAGGGCATGCACAACAGGTGAATCTCTTGTGGTAGGATATGGTGAACACTTTCCTCAGTGCCTAGGCTGTTGATTTAGTAGCACAGCCCTATCCTAGATTAACTTTCCAAAACCTTTTACATCATGTACCTTTGTAGCCAGATGACTGAGCTCAACAGCAATGTCTGATCCCGAGTTCCCCAGGCCGATCACGAGGACTCTCTTGCCCTTGAAGGACTCTGGGCTCTTATAATCCCGGCTGTGGAGGTAGTTGCCTTGAAACCGGTCTAGGCCTAAGTAAAACATGGGGAGTGGTTTGAGCTGATTTTCAGAAATTACGAAGACTCAGTTTTTTACTGTGGGTTTTTTTTTTAAAATATTATTATCTGTTTTAATTTAAAAAATTTCTATAGTTGAAATGCGTTTATCCATTTAGTGTTTTTTGACACTAAGCCCTCAAATAATTTCTTTTAGTGCCTTAAAAAAAAAACTTAAGGTATGAGAACTAATTTGATATGATATGCTAAATGATTTACATGTTTTAATTTAATCTTGATAACATCTCTGAATGGTAGGTATTGCTATCCCTATTTTATTTTTTATTTTTAGTTTTAAAAATTATTTTATTTTATATTTATTTGTTTTTTACTTGACTGATTGTACATATGCATGTGGAACACAATTTTATTTCAATACACGTATAAAATGTGTGGTGATCAAATCAAGGTAATCATCATATTCATTATCACAAAAATTTATCATTTCTTCATGATGACAGCATCTGAGCACTTCTCTTCTAGTCATTTGAGAACATACAGTAAATCATTGCTAATTATGGATCCTGAGCACTACTCTCGGCTGCTATCCCTATTTTAAAGGGTGAGGAAATTGAGACAAAGAAGTTAAGTGGAAAGGACCTAGTGGAATGAGGAGTTGAAAGCAGGTGTTCTGATCTCACACTCACAACCACTAAATCTATGGCCTGTTAACGTTAAAGGTTTTAATCTACTTTTCCTCAACTCTTTTATTATGTTGGCCTATGAACATCATGACTAGAGATGAGAACTCTAATCTTTGAGCAGACTGTTTTCTTTTCGCAAGGAAGGAAGAATGGAAGAATGGAAGGAAGGAAGTCTCCGTGTGTGTTGCATTTATTTGATGTTTGCTACATTTGGGAGGTAATGGAGTATGCTAATACATGCATGTTCTCACACTACACACACTCATACAAATTACTGAGATTTCTAAAGTATATTTGCAAGTTGTGGATGAAGATGAAATTAGAAACTTCACTTTCTCCTATAAATAACGTAAGAAAATGTGCCTTTATTTAAACTATTTGGCAGCTGAACTCTACTTTTTTTGAATGTTACTCCACTCAAAGACCCCATGTGCTGTCAGGACTTGTCTTTGAGTTACTGTCTATAAAATAAGAACTTGAGTCTGTTTGATCTCTGACTTGCAGGTCTTTTATTTTTTTAATATAGAGGTTTAGGAGACCATTTATTACCATATTTAGGATATTATATGACTGAAATTTTTTTTCCTTTTGAAATCTTTGGGATCTTAGGAATAATCATTATGTATAATCTATAGAAAAGTCTATTTTAACCCTTGATGTTTGCACATAAATCTCCAGTTATTATATATTTTTCCGGCTTACCAGGAAAGGAATCAGTTGGCAGATTGGGGTATACGTGATGTCCTGAACAAATCATTACAGCATCAAAAATGGTACATTCCTGCTTCCCATCCTTTTCAGTGACAACAACCCATTGGCCGGTGATTAGGAAGCTGGGGCATTTCTTTATACTGGAAACCAGGGTCTTAAAAAAAATAAACAGAAAAAATAGCTTTTATTTATAATTCTGTTTTCTCCCCCCTCTTGTAGTGTGTCTGTGGAGGAAATAATTGTTATGAGCTCTCCTGGTCATTGAGAAATGTTTGGAAATATATTAACACAGGAGTCATATGAATCTTCAGTGAATCTCCAGATCTCACAAGGAAAATTACTCACTGGGGTGTATTTACTTTCTGATATTTAATTAGCTGATTTGGGGGTCGATAACACTGAATGTTTTTGTGAATGATGCCATGTAACAAACCTATGTCGTTTGCTTACTGCTACTCTACACTGACATGGCTTCCTCCTTCTCTGATGTTATCTTTCAACTACGTAATAAATACGGGAATGTCTCAAGGTTTGATCCTTGCTCTCTCTTTTGCTCTTTATAGACACTTTCCTTTAGAAATATCAGCAACTTTCCATAGTATGAATATACAAACATATTCAGGCTTGGTCTCTCTTCTGTGATCCAGTCTAGCTTGACCTTTCCATCTGGAGGGCCACCTAATGTTTCCTAAAATGTAGCATATTTATGATCAACCTACTTATATTTTCTCCAAAAGTGGCTTCTGATTTTTGTATTACTTTCAAAGATGACATGAACCTCCTAGCTACCTAGGCTTCAAACTCACAACTTGTTTTGCTTGTTGTTTCTCCATCCTTGCCTTATGTCTAAACAAGCATTTCTCTCAGAATCTCACCATCTCTGTCTTCCTTTCATGACTGCTAACACTGCCTTGGTTCAAGTCCTTATCACTCCCTTGCATGGACTACCTTAAGAGCTTATAACTAGCCTGTTTTCAGCTTCCAATCTCCTGCAGCCATTCTTCATCCTCCTTGTTAGATTCATCTTTCTGAAGGACCACATTAATTCTGTGTCTCTTGCTTGAAGTTATTTCTGTTCCTACAGCCTCTAGGATTCATTCCACATTTCTAATGCTATAGTTAAAAGTCCACACAATTTTTTTCCAATTTACTCTTTTGGTCTTATTTTCTGATATTCCCATAAACTCTTCTGGGACAGAGATTGCTCATTGCTTCTCCAATATCCAAATTCTCCCTCTTCCTTACTAACATAACCCTGATTTTGTTTGGAGTGACAATATACCCAGCAAAGTGATACATTTCCCAGGCTCCTGTGCAACTAGAGTGGCTTGTAAGACACAAGTAAACAATGTTGGATAGGCTTTCCAGGAGAGTCTGTGAAAGGCGACTGATTCAGCTGGGAGAACATACTTTTTCCCTTCATCTCTTCCTCTTTTTTCTTGCTTAGAAGGTGGATGTGATGGTTTAAGCCCCAGCAACTGTTTTGGACCATGAGGCAAACTTGACAAGGTATGCCTCACGTGAAGCTGAGTTTTTGCTGACTGTGGTACCACAATATCAAATCTGGTGTCCCCACCCTGGACTTCTTTTACATGGTTGCAAAATAACACTCTATTTTTTTTTTAAAGCCACAGTACACATTGGTTTACTGATATATACAGCTGTATCTAATCCTAGAAGATAGATATACCTTGGTTTGCTCATGGGTCTCCAAATGAGCAGGGCATTTTCCCCACCTCTCTTATTTTACTTGTGCCACTCACTTATCTAAAACACCTACCAAATGCAACTCAAATTTTACCTCTCCTGGAAAAGTACCCTCTCCCAAAGTGTTGACACTTGCTTCATGATTTTCCTAGCATTATTTTACTTATAAACCAGACACCTTTTAAAATTTTCCTGTCTTTTGATTTAAATTGTTACTTGAATCTTATATTGTTATTTACTCACTCTATATTTATTTTGACCCCCAATTAGATTATAAGCTTCTTGAGGGCTGAGTCTTAGACTTCTTTTTTTGACATATAGCACATAGCACAATGCAAGCACATAGTAGGAACTTCTTTAATGTTTATTGATATCACTACCATAAGTTGAGACAATTTATGACATTTAGAATGTCATAAATGAATTGAATGAATGAATGGGATAAATAAATGAATGAAATAAAATGACAGTTGGAAAATTTTAACTGTATGTTTGGAACTACTCCAGGTAAAATAATTATGTAAATATAACCCCAATTCATAATTTTGCTGATTGTTTTTCCTGCTATGTGTACATGCTCTACATTTAACAGTAATTGAAATTAAGAGTTCTATACAAATGTGAAACATTATTGTCACTTACAGGAACAATAGCTCTATCTCATAACCCTTGAAGCTCTTTAAGGGGAAATCTACTCCTAATGAACTAAGTGGGAGAAGAATGGGGGTGGTGACTATATTAATCATCCATTTGTTTACTCTCTTCACAATGTGATGGTGGACTTTCTAACAAATGCCTTGTTTTCTGGAACAACAACTCATTGGCATTGAACCCACAGAAGTCTAAATATGGACTAGAGAATTTTGGATTATTTGCAAAACATAAGTGCACGAGGGTGAAAAGTGGACTGTGATGGCATAGCTGCCTCCAGCATTTTCTAGTGTATTTTACAGGCTCTCAAAGGCTAGTGGAGAATGAGTCTAGGGAAAAAAAATTGAAGCATGAATGCTTTGTAATCTGAATCTTAATTGGTAAGGTGCTATGGTTTGAATGCTGTGTCCCCTCCAAAATTCATGTTCATTTAATCCCCAATGCAACAGTATTAAGAAGTGTGGCCTGTATGAGGTGATTAGGCCATGAGGGCTCCACTCTCATGGATGGGATTAGTGCTTTATACAAGGGCTGAAGAGAACTAGTGAGGCCTGTTTTTTGCCTTCCACCTTCCTCTATGTGAGGACACAGTTTTCAAGGTGCCATTGTGGAAGCAGAAAGCAGCTCTCACCAGACACTGAATCTGCTGGTGTCTGATCTTGGACTTCACAGTTTCCAAAACTGAGAAATAAATTTCAATTACATATGAATTACCCAGTCTCAGGTATTTTGTTGTAGCAGCCCAAATGGATGACTACATGAGATGGACAAACATTTGGCTCTGATTTCTGTAACAGAGCTGTATCCTTACCTCTTCTCTATTCCATGTATGTATTAATACCAACAGTACAAATTATGAGGCCCTTACCTCAAACTGTATGTATCTTAAAAGATTCTTCTTTTGAGCAAATGTTTTTATGTATTCCTGGAGCTTGCTGTGGTGCATATAGTTTGGGTAATCATCAGGGTAAGGGAAGTCTGGAAAGCACATCATTTCTTTGGAAGAGTTGGTGAATACAGACTGGTAAATGCTGGCTCTGCCTTCTTCTGCATGGTCCTAGAAAAGATAACAAAGCTCAAGAAGGAAGCCAAGAATGGTGTTCTGTTCATTGAAGAGTCAATTCTTGGTTGACTCAAAGATCTTTAGTATAAAAAAATTAAAAAATGCTAAGCTCTCTGTAATATATGGAATGGAAAACTCTTCACATAGCACCTGGCACAGAACTGGAGCCCTCTCCACACTGTAATTACCCCTAGCATTAGCTCTGTCTTTATGGTCACTTAAGAGTTTTCTTTTTCCTGTACCAGCACTTGTTCTGATCTTAAAAAATACAACAAAATGGTCTGAAAAAGGTGGCAACTTTTAGCCTATTTTGTTAATTTTCTGAAGTTCAGTGAGCTCTTCGCCAGAAGTAGAACTCTGTGTTGAAGTGGTTTCCCAATTTTGGTGTAATTAGGATCATCTGGAAGGCTTCTTGCAACATAGATTCCCAGCCCTCAGAATTTCTGATTCAGTGTGTCTAGGGTGGGGCTGGAGAATTTGCATTTCTAACACATTTCAGGTGATGCCAGGGCTGCTGGTCCAGGAATGACACTGAGAATCACTGCTCTGTTGTAAACGAATTCTGTGCTTGAGAAGTTCTTTAATGCATCAGTTAGTGGTATTTACTCTTCACCAAAAAAAAAAAAAAACCTCAGGAAACCAGAGAGGCCTTAAAATATGTGTGAAATCTTGGCACTTCATTTTAAAGCTATTGTGTAATTGAAAAGTGGCTTCTTGATGAGAAGCAGTAGAAGGCTGAATTGAAAATAAACATTTCCTCTCTGTTGCAAGGGCAGGAAAAAAGTGCACACAATGTGCTACCTTGAAAATACATTTAAAAGCTGGTAGCCTCTGCTTCCCCAAGTCCCAAAGGAACTCTTATGCAATGGAGAAAAGGATGGAATGTCCTGTTGATGCTGAATCCAAGATGTCTATCTCGCATCCAGCTGATCTCTGGAAGAGGGACACAAAAATTTCTGGAAAGGATTGTGTCTCTGTGGGGAAGCAGGGGGTGGCCTGAGGCCTCCATGTTTTTCTTCGTGTTGAGAAAAATAATCTTTCTCTACTCATAGTTGTGGTATTTCTCATAAATATCTGAGCTCAGAGATTTAACTTTTTTAAACCTCACTTTGAAATTTTTGTGAGGGTCAGAAAAAGGGTGAAGGCTCATGCTTGGCAGGTTCTCAAGTTTTAGTCTTTTTGCATTCACCCACAGCTGGTGCCTTTTGTTGATGGCTGGGAGAAGAATGAGATGTGAGAAGGAGGTTTCTCGGCAGCCCATTGACAAGAGGAAGGGCTAAGCTGTGGCTGGGGACTGGTTAAGAAATAGGACTCTGCTCTGGGAAACAGATAAGGCCTTGGCTTATTTCCATCTTGTGTGAATCTTTGCTCTTTTACCCCTTGACTCTGGCCAATTGTAACAGGAGGAGAGGAGAGTATGTACCCTACAGCTCTTTGGAATTTTCTCTGAAAGGCTGTTCTCCAAACAAAGGAAGCAAATGTATTATATAACAACGGACTATTGTTCCAGAGAACGTGCACTTTCATGATTTCAATATGTGGGTGGTTTGAGCTGGTAAGGAGGAAATGAAGCTCAAACTCTGCCTCTGGCTGAAAGAGCTTGCCCTAGAACCAGAGATCCAAGGAACTGTGTTCACGTTATCACCATCTGTCTTGAGTTATAACTGTGTTCATTTCTCACCTTTCCCACTAGAACATAAGCAACTTGAGGGCAAGGTCAGAAGCTAATGCAAGAAAGGTTTGCATGCATTTTAGTGGTCTGCCTTGTCATATTTTACCTCCGCTCATAAGTCCCATTTCTGCTTATCTAAATATGCCCTCAAGATCCAGCTCAAAAGTAGCCTTCTTCCTCATGTCTTTTCTTATCTCACCTCTCACCAACTGCTAAATCATCCCTGCCTCTACCAAGTTCCCGTTGTTTTATTACCCTAATTACATACTCACTTCTTTTCTCTCTGCTTTTAAAATGCTGTCTGGCTTCTTATCTGCAGCTATGCCTAAAGTAATTCCCTATGTATAATGTGTACAATAGGTTCAATTGTTTTTTTTTTTTTTTTTCCTTTTTGTCTTTTTTACTGACCAGCAACGGGATTACAACCCTTGGTGTTGCTCCCGCACCGTGCTCAGCCAGTGAGCGGGAACTGGTCTCCACATGGGATCCGAACCCTGGGCGGGAGCGCCGCCACGCTCCTAAGCGGCGCACTCTCCAGTGCGCCACCGGGCCGACCTAATAGGTTCAATTGTTAAATAAATAAATGAATGAGTGGGAAAAATTTTCAGATAGTCCTTGTTCTGTTGTTTTGTCCTTTTGCAATAAAAATGATACTAACCTATTGCTCATTGAGCAATGTTTGTTACAGCAGCAATAAAATCTTTCGAGGACGTGAGGCCTTTCATAGAAGTGTATGAAACTTAAAACATGCTTACATTCAGCACGCTAGTATTTAAACCCCATTTGGTTTTTATTTCTCAGAAAAAGCACATAGTAAAAAGTTCCAAATTAACAGGTTTCTTTCTTCTGGAACACCTTCTGCCTAGCAGAGTCTTACAGGATGAAAGCTTATGTAACACATTCTTCAAATATCTCTCCCTCTGATTGTACACTGTGCCAAGCAGCTTTTCTTAGAAAAGGAGGAAGGGTTAGGGTGTATGGAGGGGGCTCAAGTGTCAAGTATTTGTATGTGTCCACATCTCCACTGGGCATTTGAGTAGAATTTTGCTTATACACATGACCTTATGGAAAAGGGACACTCCCTCTTGTGGATAACCCAGAGTCACTTATTGTTTCCTTAAATGAACTTTTTTTTTTTTTTTTTTTTTTGTCTTTTTGTCTTTTTCCGTGTCCGGCAACGGATCGCAACCCTCAGTGTTGCCCCCCTACCGGACCGGGGACCGGCAACGGGATTGCAACCCTTGGCGTCGCCCCCGCGCCTCGCTCAGCCAGTGAGCGGGAACCGGTCTGTATGTGGGATCCGAACCCTCGGGCGGGAGCGCCGCCGCGCTTCCCAAGCGGCGCACTTATCCAGTGCGCCACCGGGCCGGCCCTTAAATGAACTTTTTGATCTGGCTACTCTGGTTAACTTATGGGTCCCTTCCTGGATATACCATGTTCATCACCTTCTCTGTGGCTTGGGTGGATTGCTGGTCTCCTGCCTGGTACTGGCACATAGCCAGGGACTGCATAAGTCTATGGGGTGCCATTCATCAACTGTGATGGGAATGGCACTCTCTGGGGTTCTGTCACATAGTGGTCCTCTACATTCCTTGTCTGAGGATATCCTCCAAGGCTCAGCTAAGTGTTTATCCTTGCAGGAAGTTTCCCTTGACTTACTAAGATTTCTGCAGTCCACACTCTGCTAAAAGCTTAAGGCACTTTATTGAGTTGACAGTCACCAAGGGCTATCACATTCTTGTAAAGTTCTATAACCTCTTATTTGATAGTCTTAGGGCCAGATATATTTTGGAATGTGTATATTTTTGAATTTTTCTCTATAACACTCCTAGAGAGATCTGGAATAGCAACCTGTAATCAAGTGCAATAAAATTTCTACAGCACAACGTAAGTGGGATTTAGCCTCATACTCATTCAACTCATGTTTTTCAACATCTATACAACGCACAACCTTATGATTTCAGGATAGGCTTTGTTATCAAATGAGTTTATCAATTTGCTATCAAAGGATTGTGGACTTATATTATGGCTTGTTTCATCACACGGAGTAAACATCATTTAGAGTGATTATGTGGAGTAATTATGTCATGTATTTGTTATCCCAGTACCTAGCACAAAATTCTGCCAGAATAGGGTTCAAGCAACATTTAATTGTTTCTAATGAGGTGTTAGAGAGCCAATTCATGATTTAGTCTAAGCTGGTGACATTTCTCTGAGCAAATGTAAATAAAGAAAATTGAATTCTTGCAAAAAGTTACTCTCGATTACCCCCAATGGAAAATAGAAATTATATTTCATGTGATTATTTTGGGGTTACAGAACCAAAAATTAAAAAAAAGAAAGCTTTTGTGATAATACAAATGTGTTTCAAGTTAGCACTGATCCACTCTATCAGAGGAATCTGTTGTTACATTTTGGGCAATAACTGGGATCAGGACAGATTACTTGAATGGTTGTAAGATAAATGATGTGGATATAATGTCTTTAAGCCAAATATGTATCATCTATGTTTGACCACAGTGGCTGAGAAATCAGAACAGAAAGGCTAGAAGTTTTCCTAAACCTGACTTTTGAAATTTAAAAATTACGTTTATAGGGAATATTTCTTTTTTTTTTTGTCTTTTTTCATGTCTGGCAATGGATCGCAACCCTCAGTGTCGCGCCCGTACCGGACCGGACTGGCAATGGGATCGCAACCCTCGGTGTCGTGCCCGCACCTCGCTCAGCCAGTGAGTGGGAACCGGTCTGTATGTGGGATCCGAACCCTCGGCGGGAGCACCACCGCGCTCCCAAGCAGTGCACTGTAGCAGTGCGCCACTGGGCCGGCCCCGGGAATATTTCTTGATTGAATTATTTCTACGACAATGAGCCCAACTGGCAAAGACCATCATTTTTCTTTCTGGATTTGGAGCTGATAGACGTTCAACAACCACACACACCACACACACAACACACACAATCATAATTTATAATAATTGATGTCTTCCCAGTAGATGTAAGTTAACTATAGAATCATAGCCTATAGGAATTAGGAGGCACATTAGCGGTAATCTAATTTCCAACCTCTGCATTTGACAAATGAGCATTTGAGGTCTGGGAAGAAAAAAGTGACTTGCCTAAAATCCATCTGCCTAGAAAACCTGAGTTGGGAGTAGAACTCAGGACTTCTGAGTTCTACTTCTTCAGGATCTCAGTCCGGGTTTGTTTGCTCATCTTTTTTTCAACTATGTTCCCGGGATTTAAAAGCAATAATGGATAGAATCCTTTCAGTTACATGGGAAGGCAGTGGTGTGTTTTTGGCTAATTTCTGATACTGGGACCTTTTATAGCCTGGAGATCTGGTCTGTCCATGCAAGTGACGATGCATGATGAGCTGAGGATATCCTTTTTAGGACAAAACCCACTGTTGCCAAATAGTTTTGAGTGGTCAGACATAAGTGTGATGGGAGAGGTAATATTTTACTTTCCAGATTTGGAGCTTTTGTTACCTGTCTCCCAAGTCTGAATGAGAACTGAGCAGATTTGTCTAGCATTGGAACCCATGTCCCTTCCACTGACATCCCAGTGATGTGCCACTCACCGAGAATTTCCACAGGCCTCCAATGTCATTGCTTCTTTCAAAGCAGGTGGGCTCCAGGCCCTCCTCCAGACAGCACCGTATGGCAGCCAAGCCACTGACACCAGCCCCTATGATGGCCACTCTCTTGCCCATGGTTGCCTGTAGGAAAATCTGGAGAGAATTTCTTCAGAAGAGTGTCCTTTAATACTTAGGATATGTTAGTAGAAATAACCAGCTGAAGTTCATATATCAGGATCCTTGCCTTAACACAAGAAGAAATAGATGCCCGTTAACAGTTTATACTCATTATTTTTTACCACTTTTGCTATGCAATACTAAATCTGGCTTCTTGTCCTGATTGCTCAATGTGCCGAAAATAACACTCAGTGAATGTCAGAGCAGGAAGGACCTTGAAGATCATCAATCCAATGCTCTCAATTGCAAACAAAGTGTTGGCAATCTAAGATTAAAAATTACTTCTTCAAGGTCTTGGAGTTAATAAATAAAGGAGTCAGAACTAGAAATCAAGCCTTCTGCATGAAATCCTCTGTACCAAATCACTCCTACTCACTTTGAATGCTTGATGCCAAGGAGCCTTACCTTTTACTCTGTGATTTTCTTCTCCCAAGAGCACTGGAAGTTCTCTAAACATAGGAGAGAATGGCTTTGGTAACAATGTCTGTTGATGTAAAAATTGCAAAAGGGGGAGGAGCTATTCTTAAAGTAAAAATTTCTTTTTTATTGTGTGTTTCATGGTGTAGAGCCCTTATAAAACTTGGAAGAGAAGGGCTGAGTGTGGTAGGGGTAAGAGAAAAACAGGGAGGGTACGGGGGAAGGACAAAAATGAGGTCCCTTGTCCTGGTTTCAGAAAATAAAAGTGATTGATATGGCCACTGGAGCTGTAAAGGTGTAATCTCCCCTGGGAGATTAGGGAACAATAATTCTTTTATTTATTTTTGCTTTGGAACTATAGAACATATAAACAAAAGCTGTGCACCTGGACTATAATGAAAGGTTTTGTTGTGCCAACAGTGAAAAATAGCTCAATTTTCTGGAAACTCAGTAGGGCTTGATTTGAAGAGCTGAGCTAGCTCTTGTAGATGTTAAGTTTGTAAAGCTGGTGAACTCAATGGACAAAATTTTGAAGTCACTGAATCATGTCTCTGGCTCCCTTGCACTTCTATAGCTGTCCTTCCTGCTGGCACCATGCATTACAGTCGGCAAATGATGGGAGGAAATACCACTAATGATAATGACTATAGACTGTGCACTCACTGAGTGCCAGGCACTAAGCTAAACACTTAGATACATTATCTCATTTACTTTCATAAGGACCTTATGAGGTAAATATCATTGTCTCCATTTTACATATGAAAAGTTGAGACTTAGGTTAACCTGACACGGCCACACAGCTAACACGTGATGGGATTTTGAAGCTGTGCTGCCTCCCTTCAAGGGAAGAGAAAGCAGGGGAAAAGAAAGGATCATGCACTGAGTATATATTAGGTGTCAGGCACTGCATTCGACCAGACAGATGGGAGGAAGATTCACATTGCTAACAATTTGACTGTGATGAGTACAGTAACAAAGGCTTAATAAGGGCTATCCAAACCCACAAGACTGAGAGGTTTACTCTGTGGGAAAGGACTGGAGGAAGATTTTCAGTTGCATCAGTGTTTGATCAAGGACTTGCAGAATGAAGAAAAATGTGTGGTTAGAGATCGGAGAAATGCATTGTTAGTTCCAGTGACCACGAGAGCAAAGGCACATACCTGGAAGGATGTGTAGGGTGGTAGATGTGGTACAGAATCAGGTGTCAGGAGGTGGGGCGTTATGTACCACCTGAACCTTTCAAAGCCTTCTCCCTGGTAACCATGGTCTCTGCAAGGGATATGAATAACAGTTACACTAAGAGTTTAGTAACAAGAAAGTGTTTATAGAGGAATTTGGGTTTTAAGAGATAGTACTGTTTTGAACCGAAGGAATATATAGTTGGTCCTCAGTATTTGTGGGTTCTACATCCATGGATTTAACTAACTATAAATGGCAAATATTAAAAAAAAAGTGTCTGTACTGAACATGTACAGACTTTTTTCTTGTCATTCCTAAACAATACAATATAAATTGTTTGCCTAGCATTTACATTGTATTAAGTATTAAAAGTAATCTAGAGATGATTTAAAGTGTATGGGAGGATGTGCATAGGTTATATGCAAATACTACACCATTTAATATCAGGGACTTGAGCATCAGAGGATTTTGGTATTCTTGAGAGGTCCTGGAACCAATTCCCCATGGATACCGAAGAATGACTGTATTTCTATGGTAGAACTTTAAGCATTAGAGAAAGGTCAGGTAGATAGAGAGGATAATATTCCCATATGTAAGATGGCCATGAATCCTGGACAGTCCTGGGTTACAGCAGGTGTGTTGGCATCTTTACTAATAGTGCCCCCTCTTACTCTCAAAAGTGATCTTGTTTAGTTTAAAGTGATATGAATGTCAGGGGTTTAGATCCCCAAGCTGGCCAGCTGCCAAAGGAAAAAAAATAAAGTACGGCCACCTTACGTACTATAAGAAAAGCTCCTTCCATGACTCAGATTCCATTCCAGAGGCCCATTCAGACTTTCACAAACACAGCGGGCTTTCTTCCTGGTGACTGCTGTCTTAGGTTAGACATATGACATGTGAGTCTATTTCCTGAAAACATTTTGTCCAGTAAGTGAGAAATAGTTGGTGTTCTATAAGAGTCAATTTTATTTACTGAGCATTTCTACTTTATAAGAAGACAGGTGTGCCAAAGGAGAATGTTTTCTTACACGATACTAGCACACCTTTCCTTCATTGTTTTGGCAAAGCTTTGACACAGAGCAAATGTTTCTTTTTTTTTTATTTTATTATTATTTTTTTTTCGTGTCCGGCAACGGATCGCAAACCTCAGTGTCGCGCCCGTACCGGACCGGGACCGGCAACGGGATCGCAACCCTCGGTGTTGCTCCCGCGCCTCGCTCAGCCAGTGAGCGGGAACCGGTCTGTATGTGGGATCCGAACCCTTGGCAGGAGCACCACCGCGCTCCCAAGTGGCGACTGTAGCAGTGCGCCACCGGGCCGGCCCAAGAGCAAATGTTTCTAATTGGGCTTGTCTTCCTGAGTGTTTAGGGTTTGTATTCATGTTAATGGTGATGCTCTGTGGGTAATCAGCTTTTCCTAATAGTCTAGTTTCCACCAGACTCTCCTTTTTCTGACCTTTTAACTTTTCTAGTCAGTTCTTCACAGTATTCTTACCTATTCTTTAACTGTGCGTGATCTCAGTTAGGCGGTGGGCTTCTCTAACTCCAAAGCCATGCTCTGCTTTATCTTATTCCTCCTCCTAGGGCCCAGCTAAGCACAGAGCAGATGTTCAATAAGTATGTTTGTATTAAATGGTTGATTAGCAATTTAGGGATTGCAGTGTGCTTTGAAATTACAGAGCTCCATCTCTTAACAGGATGCTGGAAGAGATTTTAAGAGGGTTGTATAGTCTTAGTCCCTCCCCTGGAGTATGACTAAGAGTTTAATATGGGAAGATGAGACAGCTACAGCTACCTGATCAATCTCTTAGGTTTTCTATAGACTTCACTTCTCCATTTTCCAAATTCCATATGCAGTTTGCAGTTTGAAGGCCAAACAGAGCAGGAGTGGTTTGAATAGGGTGCTTGTTGTCTGGCTTCCTTGGGTAGCAGACTAGGATTTTTAGGGAGATGAGGAAATTACAGCGTGGGAAGTGCTGGTGCTAGCCAAGTGCTGGTGATTACTGCAGAATCTGTGAGGGTTTGTGGAGATTTCTAGATCCCTGGGCTTCATTCCATCACATTTCCTTCTTGGCTCTTACCAGAAGGGACGCTCCCTTGTCTGGGGACATGCCCAGCTGGTTCTGTCTTATCCCAGGGATAGGAGGAGGAAGACAGGGAAGAAGATTTAGCCTTCTGTTTACTGGAAGTTTCCTTCAATAACAGGATATTATGACACATTACCTGTTAGTGACCCCTCAAGTTAGCCAAGAGGAGGCTCTGGGCCAAGCAGAGAAAAGCTGTTCCATCAGGAAGCCTAAAGGACAGAATGGTAGAATCCTCTTTCCTTTCTTCAGTGACTACCTTATCTTCTTAGTACCACCCCTGCCCTGTCAGGTGAACTTAGCCCCAACTCTACTCTTTTTATGAAGCTGTTTTGCTTTTAGTGATGTTTCCTCTGTTCTTCTCTTTCTCAGGCCATCCTTCTGAAGCTGGGCTCTCAAATGGCTTCAGGAAATTAATCTTCCTGAACCAACCATTATGTTGTGACCCTTCTTAGCCTCCCACTGGCATTCACATGCTCCCTCACTGCCCAGTCTACCATTTCTCCGCACATGCCTGTCTCTCAGGACGTCTGGTACTGCCCATCACACACACCACATTCCTTCCCATCTCTGCCTGAGAGCATGCTCCCTCCTGCACAGGCCTCTGAAATCTGGGTAGAGGACTCTCTCTTGCACTGTACAAGTCCTGTGCATGGCTCAAGACCTTGACCAAACCTCACTGTCCTCAAGAAGGCTTCTTGACACCTGCATATTTGGCTGCTAAGTTCCCATAGATCAAATACTGTGTCCCATATTACCTAACATGATACTTCCAGGAGCTTTTTGCTAATTGTCTCATAAGGGTAAATTATTATCTCTGTGGACAGATTTCATATTTCCTGTCAGAGACCATCATGTCTACTTTTTATTTATCTTCCTCAATACCCAGTAGAGAGTGGGGGTATTCAGTAGGAGCTCAATAAGTAAATGTTGATGATCCTTTGTAAGTGTTTTTTCTTTCTTTTTTACTTTCTTTTCTGAAAAAGTTCTTTAATTGCTTCTGCATAGATGGGTGCAAAATTTAGGGTGTTTCTTTTCTTTCCTTTTTCCATCACCTTGCATAGTTACCATTTTGGGGGGATGGTGAGAACATTTAAAGTCTACTCTCTTAGCAAAGTTCAAGTATACAATGCAGTGTTTTAACTGCAGTCACCATGTTGTACATTAAATCTCCAGAACTTATTCATCCTGCATAACTGACACTTTGTATCCTTTGTCCAGTATCACCCCATTTCCCCCACCTCCAAGCCCCCAGAGGCCACCATTCTACCCTTTGCTTCTGTGAATTTGCCTTTTTTAGATGCCACATAAAAGTGAGAACAAGTGGTATTTGTTTTTCTGTGCCTGGCTGATTTCACCTAGCATAATGTTCTCCAGCTCATCCACGTTGTCACAAATGACAGGATTTTTTTTATTTTTTAAGGCTAAATAATATTCTATTGTAAATATATAACACATTTTCTTTATCCATTCATTCACTGATACACACTTAGGTTGATACTATATCTTGGCTATTGTGAATAATGTTGCAATGAACATGAGGCTGCAGATATCTCTTTGACATACTTTTTTCCTTTGGATATACATCCAGAAGTGGGAATGCTGTATCATATGATAGTTCTATTTTAACTTTTTGAGGAACCTCCGTACTGTTTCCCATAATAGCTATACCAATTTATACTCCCACCGAGAGTGTTCCAGGGCTCCATTTTCTCCACATCCTTGCCAACACTTGTTATTGTTTGTCTTTTTGATAAGCCATCCTAATAAGTGTGAGGTGATATCTCATTG